GATGTTTTCCACACAACTCTTCAAAGGTAGGGACGTTTTGTGCCAATAACCATATTTCTCATCGTATTACTATTTAAAATACATTATTTCCTCAATGATATCAATCAAACACCCTCTGAGAGTTTTCTGAAATAGGAACTGCTGATTTGGGTTTTGGGTGCTTTTGTAATTCTAGAACGTACTAATTATGCTAATTATATGATTTAATTAGTTAATAGGGTATTGTTTAATTTGTTAATTTTTTAGAGTATTGTGCCTAATTTTCCCAAAAATTAATTAGCCAATCACTACAAAGTTTTGTTAAGGTTGTCTAAGGTATCAAACTATTAGGGCCTGTTTGACACCTTTAATTTTCCCTAGTACTAGAAATTCTTTTTCCATTTTCTAGCTTTTGCTTATTTGATAGTAGAAATTTTCCATGGAAATTTTTTCTCACTTTCTCTCACACGTGCACATTTTCTTGATTTTGTTGAAATTGATTTCCCACCTTTTGGGTGAGTTTTCATTTTCCAACTCTTTTTTTTTATGGTAATTGGGAAAAATTCTAGACCCAATGGTAAAATTTTTTTATCACTTTTATTGACAATTTTCATACAAAACAAAGTCAAACGAATGGTATTCGGTATGGTAATTTTTTAATTTTATTTTTTTTTGACAAATGAAACAAATTCTAGACTCAATGGTAAAAGAAATTATCACTTTAATGGATCATTTCCATGAAAAACAAAGTTAAACGGACACCAAACTTTCAACATTTTTCAGGTGAAAAATTATACAAATCAAACATAATTAATTACAATTCTTAGTAAAATAATTTTTAGACAATTCAATTCCCTATAATTCATTTTCTTTAACCAATTTTCCGCTTTTGCAATCAAACGGACGCTTAGTTTCAAAATGATAAGTTAGATTCAAATGAGTCAAGGATGATTTTCGTTAAATATTCATTTCTTGCTAATTAGGTTTCTTGATGATTAATACTCGTGTTCTTGTTTATATCTAATGAGTAATCGTTTTGGAAAGTGAAATTTCCTAGCTAGTACACAGTCACTATTTATGGAAGTCATACGTTAACTATGTCTCATGTTTTCTAGTTCTACTAGGATTTAAATTAATGAAAGATCTTATAAATATTCATTTCACGTCTGTCCCGATTATTAAAACTCATAATTTTTCAACCACTACAAAGTAGCGTTAAGAATGTCTCACTGTATCCAAATCTTATAGGATTCTACATGACAATCCAGCTTAAAGTGTGCCAAAGAATGTACCCATTTTCATTACAAATATTCATTTCACCAACTAATAAAGACTCATTGCGGGCAGTGACACTACAAAGTTATATGTTAACGTTGCCTCATGTTTCCCAATTCTATTAGGATTCAAATTAGTCATCAGTCCTTCTATTGACACTTCTTGATCATTATAACTCGTATGTTCTTGTTTACTGTATTCTTAATCAATACAATGGGCAGTCGATATGGGAAAATCACGGGCTTGCCCATCGGATATCGTTTCGTGCCAAATGATGAAGAGTTGATCGAGTGCTATCTAATGAAGAAGGTGTCGAACGGACCACTTCCACCCGATGTTGTTAAAGATATTGATGCAGGCAAGCTATATGGAAAACATCCCAAGAATGTAGGTAAGTACAGATGCAACACCATTCTATTCATAAATTGTGTTGATTTATTGTTTTCTAGTACAATTTACTCTTTATGAGTAAAACTTATATTAATAATGTTATTTAGCAGCATTAGTGTTATAACAACAGTTTAGATTGCCGCACTTGATAGGTTCAATTAAAAGAATCATTTGACATGTTGAATGATAAAATTTCACGATGAATAAAGATGAAAACATATATCAATTTATAAGGATTTGTACTGCTCATCTACAATAGTAGATGTAGACATTTTGAGACTTGAAAAATAGATTGTGAGTTTTTTGGACTAAACTACTTATACACACAAAGTGTACACTTTAATTGACACCATCTATGTGTCAAAAATCTGACAGTTGATTGAAAAATGTGTTGTCAAGATTAATGTGCCAAAGTCTGTCAACTCACATGAGTGTAAATCAATGACTTTCGTGTATATATAACATGGTCCATTTTTTATGTTATGAGTTATGACCCATGTACAAAAGAGCTAGATGAGGAAGAGGTGCCCATATTGACTGCCCATTGTATTGATTAAGAATATAGAAAGCAAGAGCATATGAGTTATAATGATCAAGAAGTGTCAATAAAAGAACTGATAACTAATTTGAATCCTAATAGAATGGAGAAACATGAGGCAACGTTGACATATGACTTTGCAGTGTCACTGCAGGCAATGAGTGGTTATTAGTTGGTGAAATGAATATTGTAGAAGAGAGGTTGAAGGAGGTAGAGTGATGTATATAGATTAATTTATTAATTATTTAATGTTATTATTAAATTAAAATGTGAAATTATTATTTGATTTTTGTATAAATAAACCTTAAAAATGATTTTTGAAATTGGAACTTAAATAATCTGGTTACTCGTAATTTCCACGAATAATAATAATTAAAGATTTGGCGCAGTCCATTTTAGCCGTTGTTCGATGTTTACTAGGCCTAAAACTAGCAATTGAAGAGGTGAAGGTTAAAGCCCAAAATTAAGTTTAGGTTATGGGCCAGAGATTAGGCCTATCTGCACAAATGTCCTCGTGTGATGATGGTCTCATTATGCCATAGTAGCCTATAAGGTTAACTTTTGTTTGTTTATGGAAAGAGGAAATTACATAATTCCAGGTGTTTGAAAATTAGAATTTAAAAATCAGGGATCAAGTTTCATTATTTAAAAATCAGGTATGGATATAATAATTAAATATCTACCCCAATTCAATTCCAAACCCTAACCATTTCATTTTATTCTCACCCTCACTCACGCACTCCCCATCTATCTTCTCCCTCTACTACGCCGCCGTCGGAACATGCCGTCGGAGACCTGCTCCATTTCACTTCAAACGAGGACACCACATCGTTGCCACTATGTAAGTAGCACCGAGGCTATCTGTACCACGCAACGCGGTGGGTGCGAAATCTCCTCACCTTTCTGTCGCTGCTGCCCGCTGTCGTCGCTAATCCCATCACCACCCTCAATCCATTTCACCCCAGAAGGAGCGCGAATCGACTGCCAGGAATGCGAATCGCTGCGAGTTGAAGAGATGAAATGACTGCGCGTGATGAAGCAGAAACAGTATGTATGCTGATTTGTGTGTGTGGAAGATGATTATGTTGGTGCGATGTGGGTGGTGGTGATGGTTATAGATGGTGGAGGTGGCTAAGTTTTCTTTTGNTGGTGTTGACGGCGGTGGTAGTGTGGCGACGGTGTTTGAGTTGGAAATGGTGGTGTTGGGTGGTGAGATTATGTGGAGTTCAGTTGGTGTTGGTAATGGAGTGGTGGCTTTCATTGGTGGTGGTGTGGTGTTGGTGCTGTTGTGGTGGTGCCGAGGTGTTCGTGGTCGCAAGTGGTGGTGGTATGTGACCAACTATTTGGCGTATGTGACCAAAATTCGGTAATCTGTGACTAAAAATATAATTTGTGCCAACCATTTTATTATCTGTGACCGTGAAAAAATCTGTGACCAACTGATTTTGAAATTTGTGACCGTGTGACCTATAAATTTTGATATGTGATCAACGAATTAATTGTGACCTACAACATTTTTAAGCTGTGACCTTAAAATAATCTGTGACGTATAAAAATTATTACTTGTGACTGAAATAATGTGACTAACTAAATTATAAATCTGTGACTGTGTGACCTATAAATTTTGATCTGTGACCAACTAATTTTGAAATCTGTGACCAACGAATTAATTGTGACTTATAAATTTTTTGAACTGTGACTGTATCTTGTAAATCTGTGATCGGAATGGTCACCAGAATAGTCGTCGGAATAATTGATGGAATCGGAGCAGTCACCAGAATAGTTGCCGGAGAAGAGTGGCGTCGGAATAGTCCTCGGAGCGGTATAGGTGGTGCATGTGGGACGGGTTAATTATAATATATTAGAATTAAATATTTAATAGTAAATTGATTTAATAAATTATTATTTCATAAATAAAAATTAAAAAAAAAACCTGATTTTTGAATTTTCAAACTATAAACCTGATTTTTGAATTGGTTCTTGTTAGGTTTCCACATATGTACTATTTAACTCCTTTTATCACTCTGGTGGAACTCATTCTAACTACATTATGCTTGGCTGCATTATGTCTTATTCCTTTTGATGGACCATCTAAATCTATTTGAATATTTTTATATTTTTGCTACATTTTTATGAAGCTAGGAAGAAGTAGAGAATGTCTCTTTGAGGTTTGTGTATCTATCTTTAATTACTAGGCCAAACTTCGTTTTTCATTTTTGATTAATCGTTAATTCTTCATGTTGCAGTGGAGAACATGTGTGGTCATGAAAAAGCGTGGTACTTCTTCATCCATCTCGACAGTATAGAAGATGAAAAAACAATTCGAATGGTTGGAGATGGGATTGGTTTTTGGAGATGTGTTCTAGCAGAAGATCTAATCTATAACTCAAGTGGCGATGTTTACGCTGTCAAGACTCATTGGACATACTTTCAAGGTCCTTTATCTAAGGGTAAACGGACATATTGGACAATAGAAGAATATCGATTAAGAAATAACGCATCTACCACTTATCGTGATCAACGGGTATCTATCTCCATCTGTAGTCTATTTATATATATATATGTAAGCATGTGCGTGTGCGCATGCGCATGCATGCATATCACACACTCAGATCACATTTCATTCTTAGTTTTTTTTTTAATTCTTTTTTCAGGAAGCGGAGTGGGTTCTAGTAAGAATACAGAAGGGGAAAGTTTACCACAACACGTTTTAAGGGCAGTTCATTTATTCTAGTGAATAGTCATTCTTTTAGTTTTTAGTAATAAAAATTGCAGTTGGATTTGGGATCCCCTTCTCAGTTTTTAGTCATTTTTATGTCACATTCAAGATTGAATATTACAAGCGACACCATTGAGTTCGAAGAATAATGACTGTTACTTCCAATTCTTTAAAGTAAGTTTTGTTGCCATTTATTAGTTTCATTTCCCAGACTGAATTCCATGTGATAGATTTTTTGAGATTCTTTAATCAAATGCTGCCTGGCTCGATTCAATAATAATTTTCGTAATGACAATCTTATATTTTATTTCGTTTAAATCGGGTATCATCTTCCATCTCAGTTCAAGAAAATTTAGAACGACATAATTACATTTTAAACAAGAATATAGCTTCTTTACATAACCTTTATTTCTTATTTCAACATTCTTTGTTTTCTTTCTATTTTTTCTTTCATATTCGGTTTCTTAATTCGCCCCGATATGACTTTCTTGGACCGACTAAGTAGTGTGCACAGTACAAAGTTCATATTGCAGAACATGTTTGATTCATTTTATTGGTTAGGCTCATACGAAATAAGTAGCTTCTAGATAAGTGTAAAAATTCTTAACGAACATTTAATTCTGTCTCTTTTTCGCTAGCCTATCCATAATTTCCTAATATAAATGTAATAATGAAAATAACCTTCAATTTGTTGTGGAATTTAAGTAAATTATGTTGTGAATCAAAGATCAATATATCTTTATGTTGGAAGAAAACGGGTCGTCCATGTGGGTTGACTTGACCCCGATTGCATGGTAATAGTTTGGAGGGAGAAGTTGAGGGAGCTGAGTTTTTTTTTTTTTTTTAAATTTGAATTTGAATTTGAAACCATAACTCCTTGCCACCTCTAACTTCCATAAACACCAACTATATCACAAAATCAAATAAAGAACAATGCAATTCGGATTATATAAAAGAGAGAAAAATAGATGAGGGTGATGACTTGATTTTGGAAGTATAACATCTCAAATTGAGTTCTTGGATTGTGAACATCAAACTCCTTCCTTGGTGATTGAGTTTCTGACTAGTAAACGGTTACAAGACGGCGTGGAAAACAAGCAGTCAAAAGGTAGTGATTCAACCTCGTTTTGATGTTTTCAAGTAAGTTTTACTATTCAAAACTTGGTTATAAGCATGCAAGCATGTTTTACATTGGTATCAGAGTTTAAGTGGGTTGTTTTCTTGCTCAAATACATGCTAAAAATGGGTTGAAATGATCAAAACACGTGTGTCGTTTTCTTTCGAAGCTTGAACATCATTAATGGAAACTTTTAATATACTTCATATAAATTCATGAAATTTATAGCATATGTTCATGATATTATGTATAACATATCTGAAAAATTTCACTTCGTTTGGATTTATATTTTGGAAAAAAAATCGAATCGTAGTTGAGAAAATCGAAACTTCATTGCATGATAACTTCTAGCACGTTAAGTTTCGTGTTGTCCATTTGGTATGAATGGATATATCTTCTCAACACATTTACAGCGGTATAAAGAACATTAATTTTGGCTTAGATTTGAAGAAGTTATTACATTTCAAAGTTTGTTAAAAAATCTGAAAAATCTACATATTTTTGGACGATGAACAATAAATAAAAAAATGGAAATTGTTGCGTGGAGGTGGGTGCATTCCAAATGCAATTTAAAAAATTGCATGTTGGTCCCAAAACTATTTTTGGATATTGTTTATTCCAATACCAATTTGAAAAGTTGCAAATGTGTCCCTCAAATATTCTTGATTTTGTTATGCAATTAAAATAATTTTTATATAATCAAAAATATTTTTTATTATTTTATTATTGTAATAAATTTATAAAAAAGCATTAAAAATATTTTTTTTGGACTTCATTAAATTCTGAAAATTTTTATAAAAATAAAAAAATATTTGTTAAGTGGTATTTGGTTAGTGAGAGATTTTTTTAGGAGCTCTCATTTTTTAAAAAAATACTCCGAATGTGTTTGAAATATCACATTTTATATACGTTCATAAGTGGTATGGATTTTGATTAGGTTATGTGATCCATTGTGACTAATTTTCAATTTTTGAGTTTGATTAGATATGATGGAACAACGCGAACTTGTAGCATCCTTAGATGAGAAACTAGTAGAGCATGGGCTATGGAACGTGTTGAAAAATTATGTGTTAATCGAAACTATTAAATGGATAAACGACATAACCAGTACAACACATAAAATTTCATGAAGCAATGCGTAGAGAATTGTTGCATTTGGGACAGCCTATATGTAAGATGGAGAGTATGTATCATCTAATGAGGATACTTACTAAACATTGACATGATATTACTATTGAAGTTTTGGATAATTCACCACATTTATGTCACAACTATCTGATCAAGAATTTGATTAGGAAATTGAATACGGAAAATGAGAATTTTATAATTACTTTAGATATGTGTGGTTAATTCAAATTGTTGAACAAGATCTATGTAATTTTTTTCCATGTTTAGTAGTTGTTTAAAGATGTTTAATATGATCATATGTACATATTTGACATTTTGAGATTTATATATATGTTTCATATTTCTCACATATAGTCAAAATGTCTTGCTTATTTTGTACATATTTGACATTTTGAGATTTATATATATGTTTCATATTTATCTTATATAGTCAAAATGTCTTGCTTATTTTGTACATAATTAATTGTTTAACTTAGTGGGAGTTCTAAGGTTGGAAGAGTTTAACTAAATCTGACCTAGAGCCTATGATTTTGCACAATGAAATTAATTTTGTTATAATGTAACATTAGGATAATGGACGATGATAGGGAACTTAGTGAACTTTTGACTCCATATCTAGTGTGAAATTATCATAAAATTTAATTTACATGAGAGCAAAATGATATGTGTGCATAAATGGATATTTGGATGATTATCTTTAAAATTTTAACAGACCATAGAATCTAAAAATATCATACATGACCTTAATAAGGGCAACAAATTGAATGGCTATAACTATAACACCTGGTGCCATAGTTTGGTATGTGTTGGAGGAATATGATTGCCTTGAGGGCATTAATCACGTGATGGAAGACCCAGGGGTAGGTTAAACCGCTCAACAGAGAAGGGATCAGAAAACTTACCAAACATGGAAAAAGAAAGATTCTGTTGCTCGTGCAATTTTAGAAAGTTCCGTGGTGGACGATCTCATTTATGAATGTAAACAATTCCCTGCTGCTCATACATATTTGAGAGAGAAATATGGTAGTACTAGAGCGACTAGACACAGACAACTGACTATTAAATTTGATACTTACAAAAAAACTTCCTAATCACAATATCACACAACATGTGAGGATCATGTCTACTATGCTTAGGGAGTTGAAGTCGGCTGGTCACATACTCTCTGATGAACAACAAGTTCAGGCTTTGATTCGTTCGCTTCCTGATAACTAGGAACATCTAAAAGTCAATCTAATTCACAATGATAGTATCAAAACATTTGCTGATGCTACCCGCCATGTGGAACTAGAGGATGGGCGGCGCCTTGGTGTGACTAAATCTCTGGGACATGCTTTTGTGGCTGAATCTAGTTCTGGAAAAGTTTCAGCTTTTAAGCGTAAGAAGAACTAGTTCAAAGGCAGGAAATGGAAGGGAAAAGAAACTAGACAGGGACCTAAAAAGAACAAACTCAAGCACAGCAAAAAAGGTAAATGATTTGGAAAGAAGAAAGATAAGAGCAAGCTGCAATGCTTCAACTGTCGGTGCTGGGTCACTTTGTTCGGGAATGCCTTAAGTTAAAGAAGGTAGCTCTTATAATTTTTTAGTGTTATTTATGTTTCAAGTACTGTTATGCTAACTAAATCTTATCGTATGTGGATTGTAAACTGAGCGACAGACCATGTAACCAGGGATCGAGAAGCGTTTGTGGAATTTCGTTGATTTCTAGCTGGTGCAAAGTGGATATACATCGTATATTTGCATGCTGGCCGTACTATTCTCCTTCATAATGTCCTGTTTGCACCGGGGATACGAAGGAACTTAATTTCCATTGTTGTTCCATTAAGATTATGTTTCAGTTTGAACTATTGTGGTAACTCTGTTTATATAAATAGTTGTAATGTAGATTGTGATCCAAACGCTTATAGTTATTATGTTGATTGTTGTTTTTCTATGAACATATCTTCTTCTTCTTTTTCTAAAGATTTGACCGTTGATACATCTGTATGGCATGCTAAATTAGGACATATTGGGCAAGAGAGAATGAATATGATAACTAAAAAGGGGTTGCTAGGTTCAATTTCTAAGGTTTCTTTACCTACTTGTGAACATTGCCTAATTGAAAAAAAAACACGAAAACCATTTGGTAAAGCCTTAAGAGTCGAATTTCTATTGCATTCAGTCCATTCAGATATATGTGGCCCTATGAATTTGAGGGCAAGACATAGAGCCTCTTATTTTATTACTTTTATAGACGATTTCATGCGGTATAGTCATGTCTTTTTGATTTCTCATAAGTCTGAAGCATTAAAATACTTTAGACGATATTTAAATGTGGTAGAAAATCAAATAGATAGAAAGGTAAAAGTCTTAAGATCTGACTGAGGGCGTGAATATCTGTTTGAAGAGTTTAAAGAACAATGTCATGATAAGGGAATCATTATACAGTTAACTATTTCCAATAGACCTCAACAAAATGGTGCTACTGAGAAGAGGAATAGAACATTGCTAGAAATGGTGAGGTCCATGGTGGCGTATGCTAACTTACATATTTCTTATTGGGGAGATGCTTTGTTAACTGTGACCTATATTCTGAATCGAGTTCCCTCTAAATCGATACCTACAACACCATATCAGCTTTGGACATGTAGATTCTCTGATTTGAGTTCTCTTAGATCCCGGGAATCAGCTCTTATATCCATGATTCCTCAATTAAGTTTGGAGAATTGGGTCCGCGAGGCAAGAAATGTATCTTTATAAGATACTCAGATCAGTCCAAAGGATATGTGTT